TAATGTAATTTAATGTAATTTAATGTAATTTAATGTATGTTTAATGCTTCTTTGTCGTTAATTAAACTAATTTGTCGCTATAATATTTTGTTCCGATTTGTTTTAAATATTCCAATCGATTTATAGATTTGTTACATAATTGTCTGAAACATATTTCTAAAAAATTTAATTTATTTATGGTGTCTTTTCGTTGAACATTATTAATACTTTTCTTTATTGAGTTTAATTTTAAATCTGATTCTGATTGAATTTGTAATATTGTGTCTATAACTAGGTAAATATTTGGATGTGGCGAGTAAAATTGACTATTGTAATGACGATGAAAACTTTCTACGCCATTTGTTGTCCTTGGATTATTATTACTTGGTGCACTTGCCCACATAACTGGAGGGAAATCTGAGTCAATCAAAATATAATTTTCTAGAATATAATCTGTGAATTGCGTAAACATAGTCGTAGGTGCAATTGATAGCAAGTCCGTAAAGCCGTCCGAGATTTCATCTGGTGGTAAATAACTTAAACCGAAAAAACACTTAAGCCATGCACCGATTTCTGATGAATTGTTTAAATATTCGTTTAATAGTGGTTTATTTTGTTGGATATGTCGATACCAACTTTGCCCGAGATGGAAATTACAACAAACTAATTTACAATTTGGAAACTTTTGTAATACAGCATTATGAGCGGCTTTTTCAAAATCAGCATGGAAAATATTTATTTGAAGTTGCTTGTTAGTCAGTTGCACACATAATTTTCCTAACATTTCCCATAACATCAAATAAGTCGAAGTCTGTTTGTTGCGTAAAAAACAATAAACAAGAGGAATATAATAGTTATTTTTGTAAATATGTAATGTATACAGTTGCATAAAAAATTTTGGAGCATAAGTAAACGTTCCATCTCCAAAAACATGTTCCGCGTTTGAAATTGCCTCTAAATTAATTTTGCACGTAAATATAATTATATTTTTGTCATCACTAATAAAACAAAATTGTTCACCCTTGTATTGAATTTTATTTTGCATTTCATTTAACTGTTCTATAGCAATTTCAGTCGATGTCGGTAAATTAGGAAAATGCTTTCTTCTTATGTCATATATAGAACGCCTAAACAACTTCATATCCGTATGAGTTAAATTTAACGAAATATCCTCCATATTTTGTAAATCACGACGTATCAATTTACTTGGAAGTATATGTAAGTCATCATTTGCTTTACGTTTTAAAGAGCTTCTAATAATTTCTCTAGAAATTACCTGGTCAGTGTGTGCTTCGTGATTGTGTTCGTTTGAAGTATTAATTACCCTGGTAATCGATTCATTCACTGTAACTCTTGATGTACATTTTTTATTGGTACATCTAAACAACAGATCACCCGATTTTAAAATACGAAATTCACTATACTTATAGTTTTCAATGTTAAAACAACGTTTTCCTCTGCGCGTTTCAAAAACATTTAATATTTGAATGTCCATGGTAATACACGAAATAAAATAACTGGTATCTCGATAGCATCACACGTTCGACTAAACAATAAACCTATAGTAACATACAGCGGTCATCGCAATAACGCACCCATTTATCTAAAATCACATTATCGTTTAGAACCAACTATGATAGTTAATCAATTACGTGCATCTTATCTTGTCTAATTTAATAGTTGTACGCAAACGAGTCGTCATTTTTCAGGTCAAAATTAGTATTAACCGGGTTTTCATGTTTTTCGATGTACGCAAACGAGTTGTCAGTTTACAGGTAAAAAATTGTGTACTGTGCGCAAACGAGTATCACCGAAATGAATGATATTCGTCGCCGCCGTTATCAAATAATTATAATAATATTAAAAATAATTAAATTGTTGTTTTTTTCTCAAATCGTGGAATATAAAAATATAGTAACAATAAATAATAGAATTGTATTGTTTCTTTCAATTAATAAAAATAAGTAGTAAAATTTAGCCTAAAACAAAAAATAAACAAAAATATTAAAATATTAAAAAAATGAAAATAAAAATTAGTGATTAATCATATTCCAAAAATAGATGCAATAGTTAGCATTATTTGTGTTATTTGTATTTCAATCACATCATTTATTGAACTACAAATCAAACATAAAATATATATTAATTATTAACAGTACATTTTAAAGGGATGTCACCTATCCGAAAGTTGTAAGTTCGAAAATTCGTGTTTGAAATAGTTCATGTCTTTGAGATGTTTTACTTTTATAAAAAAAATTACTATAATTATTGAATGGTACTAAAAATTAAAAAGACAACCAACCTATTGTTGAAA